CACCCAATAGGTTCGCGCGTTGGGCTACGGATAGCCTACTCCTACTCAAAGTCCAGCTCGACCCGCCCAATAAATTACTTGGATAAAGGCTTGAGCCTACACTATCCAAGCCTAACTTGAAAAAAAAATTCGCGGGCTTAACCCAACCCATCCCATGGACACCCTATTGCTAAGTATAAAAGGAATGTATTCATTGTTGATACACATATATCCGAAATATATCTTACAAGTATTCAATAATGATAAATATTTTATTCATTATTCGATATATACGAAAAATATTTGATACGCATTTATTTGACGAGTATTGGTATCCAATACATATAAGATAAGGATATGTCACCCTCCATTGAAGTATCTATGCCTCATAGAATATCACTTTTTGTATTATATCTCTAATTTTATTTAATAAAAAATGTCTTGTATACAATTTTCATATATTGTATATATTCATTATTTTTAATGGAGAATTTTTTTTTGTCATCCCACTTTTTAATAGTATTTTTCTACAAAGGAAATGCTTTATCGTTTTTTTTAATTAAAACAAAAGCAAGTTTTTTCAAAAAAAAAAAAAAAGGCAGGTCGAAAAATATTAGGGAGAATTACACCCAGCCCATTGAAATTTGTCACTTAATCATTCAGACCCCTTGAAATTTAAAATATTATATAAAAACCTCCTAAAGTTTGTACCCACGTAACACTTAGAGCCCTGTTATAAATATATCACTTAATAAATTATATTTAAACCTCCTGAAATTTGTAAGTATGTAATACTTAAACTTTTTAAGTTTAAAATATTATACTTAGACCAAAAATACTCAAATAAAAGATAAAATATCAAAAATTTTAAATTTTACAACCAAAATTCATGTTTTATTGTATCATTTATTAAAATAAAATCAAAAATAAAATTTTAATTTTTTTAAAAAAAAACGTAATTAGTATACAATTATATTGTCTATTGGAATTTAATTTGATAGTTTAAACGACCAAATTAAAATACCAAACTACTCCAATTAAAGTTAAAAGATATTGTGTCCGTTAAAGTTTGATCCATTGTTTAATTTTTTAGTTTTATTCTAATAGATAGTATAATTATATACTAACTATGATTTTTTTAAAAAAATTAGATTTTGATTTTTGATTTTTGATTTTATTTTAATAAATCACATAATAGAACATGAATTTTGGATGTAAAATTCATGTCCTGTTATGAATGAATTAGACCTCTTGTTTGATTTTTTAGTTTTATTTCAATAGATAGTATAATTTTTTACTAATTATGATTTTTCAAGAAAAAATTAAAATTTTATTTTTAATTTTATTTCAATAAATGATACAATTATTTTAATAAAATTTTATTGTACTTACACTTTTGGTATGAGTATAATATTTTAAACTTAAGGGGTCTAAGTATTATATACTTGCAAACTTCAGGGAGGTCTAAGTATAATTTATTATCTGATATATTTACAGTAGAGGTGTAAATGTTACACACGTACAAATTTTAGAAGGTCTGTATATAATATTTTAAATATCAGAGAATTTAAATAATTAAATAATAAATTTTAGAGAGTCTAAATATAAATCACAAGATACCGTGCCTTCAAAAAAAATATCTTCTGAGTCTGCTCTATGAGTTGAGTGTGTTACGTGACAACAGTCCAGAACTTACTGGAAAATATTGCGTTGAGTGCAATCCAAAGGACACTGCTATAAGGACCACCAGGGGCGGAGGCTGTGTGTGTGTGTGTGTGTGTGTGTGGGGGGGGGGGGGGGGGGGGGAGGGGGCGCAATTGTCTCCACTGAAATTCTGAAAATTTGTAAGATTAATTTAAAATTATAATAAAAATTAATTTTTTTAATCACTTGCCCCCGCTCATTTTTTTTAATGCATTAAAAGTTTAGACTCAAGGTTCACTCATAGAGACTTAATCTCACAATTTTTTATTTAATCTCTAGTTATTTTTATTCCTTCTACAATGACTCACTTAAGTTACCGAATCAATCTTTCTCCGAATTCAATAACTAAGACATAGATATATATATTTTTGACCAATTATCTAAGTTCAAATATACTACATCATTTTCTAAGATTTTAAATTTAGGCGCATAAAAAAATTTGATCTCATTATGATTCAATTCAATTTGATATGCATACACAAATATGTATATGTAAACATTTGATAAAACTAAACAATTAAATTGAATTAAAATTATAATGCGACACACACACACACATATATAAATATATATATAAGATTGGATTTTTGATAAAATTCATAATATTTAATAGATTTGAATATGGATTAAAAAAATAAAATCAGTTAAATAATTAGATTAGATTCAAAATAGGGTTTTCAAGACAAATTATCATTCGGATAAGTCAAAATCTTATTATTGACAAGTACACTCACAAAATGATATGTCAAAATAGCATTCTCTATGAAAACTATCTTTATTCTAATGTTTTTTTAAAAAAATTATATTAGTTTTTCATAGTCAACTATCGATTTTTCATGTGTATTTTTATGTGAAATCTTTGAAAGTTAAAAAAGTAATATGAAAAATTATTTTATAAAAAGTGTTAGATTAAGAAATTTTCCTTTTTATAGAGAATGAAATAATGTAAACGAACTTTGATAATTGTTGAATAATTATTCTCTTTAACTCGATGGTTGCCCCCACTAAAAAGAAATTATGGCTCCGCCCTTGAGGACCACATGTGTCAAACAGAAATGAGTTGCGTCATATCAGATATATGTGATATTTTAATTGTATCATTTAAAAATATATTTAAATTCATAGCATACATATTTTATAATCATATATAATTTAATCCATGTCGTGTCAAGATCATATGGTGTATAAATCATGTTTATTGAATTTATATTGTAATTAATCTAGTCTGTTTGAAGTCATTTATTTGATAAAATTTAATGGATTCATTGTTTTATCCTTACAATTTATTATAACTAAACTTCGCTTTTTGAATATATTTACATGATTAGGGAGAAAATAAGATTCGAACCCACTAACAACTAGATGTCGGTGGTCAGGGATAGAACCAGGATTTGATCAGAATTTAACTTTATTACTCAATTTGGTCTTTTTTTATTTTGTCAGCATAACATTACTGTGTGATATAAGCGACATTTCTAACTCATTTTTCATTTACTTTTTGTCATTGGTTATCAAACTTATCCAAGCAAATATTTATATTTATAAAAGCAACGCTTACCAATATCATTACATCCTCCATTTTGTTATAAATGTCAAACCATTAAGTTTTTTTAAATATAGTAATTGAAATATCTCATGTATTGTTGTTTATAAACTTAAGGAAAACATAAAAATAAAAAATTTAAAACCAAAGAGGATTAAAGAGTATTTTTCAAAATGTGAGGAGGGCCATGGACCCCCTGGGCAACCGTGTAGTACCGTGTCGGGCGGTAGCCATTTGACAAACTTGTGTCAGTTTTTGCATGGAGCTCAAACAGGACACATTAGTAACCCCCAACCCCACATGGCTCAACCTCTGTACCAGTTGCCATATTTCAAATGTGAATCACGATCCTATGGTACAAAGAATTATTGAACAAGAACTTGATCATTAATCCCACAAATTACAACGACACAACTGTACCTTGATATATCGGTCATTACTCAAAGTGCCCTCGACTCGGAGGACACTGACATACATTAATTGGTCATTGCATTTGTGGAATGATATTGGAAGCTATGCATAAGATACTTGGAGGAAGAAATTAAATATTATGGATTCAAGTTATATCATGATAATGCCCAATAGTAGCTGCCAATTCAATTGTGATGACTCAGATTACTCGGAGGTAGCTCAGCTGAGTCGAGCGAGACACGTGAATCTCATGAAAATTTCGGTAATACCTCTTTTATTTTATTATATTTTTAAGCACATTTTCTCTATTATCCAAAACATGACATTTTTTTTTAGTTTATATTCCTACCATTAAACCACCGTTTATAAAAAAAAAAAAAAAATCTAAAATAACATAGTGACTCCTATATAAATCTTAAATAATTTTTTTTACATAAAATTTGATTAAAATTTATTTTTTTAATTATTAAAATTTAAGTTGATTAAAATTCGATTTAAACTAATTAAATTATATTTTTTTTACATATTAAAATTCATTTTTTACATACTAAAATTTGAGCAGATTTGAACTCTACCTGAATTGTTAACTTCAATTAAAATTCGTTTCGAGTTAATTAAAATTAATATTTTTTTATTTATTAAAATTCAAGTCAATTAAAATTTGATTTAAGTTGATTAAAATTTATTTTTTACTTATTAAAATTTGAGTTGATTAAAATTTATATTTTTTTATGTATCAAAATATAGGCCGATTACAATTCAAGTTAAGTTGATTAAAATCTGATTTGAACTGATTAAAAATGAATTTTAATTGGCTCAAATAGAATTTTAATCTGCTCAAATTTTAATACTTAAAATCGAATAGAATTTTAATCCGTCACAAATTTTAATACGTAAAAAAATTTAAAAAATAGATGGGTCTCAATGAAGATATACTTATCTATAAGAGTGTAAATAAAAAATTTTTTAAACTATATTGTAGATAATTTAGTAAAATTCTATTGTAGTTGACACCTTTAATCTAACACGGGTGTCAGTAAAAATTTAAAACATAGAAGGAATATTCTTAAAGATATAATAAACTAAAAACGATGTAGCTGAAATTTTTTTTTATTATTTTAAATTTAGTACATATTTCATTTATTTTTTAGCGTATAAATTTAAATATTAGGTTATTTTTAGCTTACTTATTTTTTAATTTTTTTTATTATACTACCGGTCTGACTAGTTGGCCCGATTTTAATAACTATGCTAATAACTACATTTATAGGTGTAATGTATGAAAAATGATAGTTGAGGGTATACTAGAGATGAAAGCAAGAACGTATCTTTCAAAATATTGCAATATACTAGGGGGAGTAGGTGAAGTTTTTCTATTTCGTATTCTCGAGAAAAGCCCTCCGTCCCCTTCCTCTCTGCGCCTACCTCTCTCCGTCACCGAGGGTCTCCGATCCACCCTGTCCGAACATATCTGACTTCTTCTATTGACTCTTGTCTTCGGCTCCTCCCGGGTAAGATCTGATATGTATAATTTGCAATTTTTTGTTAAATTGGACGAGAAATTATGCCTAATATTGAACATAATTGGTGAGATTTAGACGAAAATTGCGCTTGAATCTGTTGGGTTTTTTGGAATTTGGTAGCCAGTTCGCTTCACTATTGTGGTGCTTGTGGGTTTTTTTAGAGTAAACGAATGATGTGTTTGAGCGATACCGTGACTCACTTTCAGTAGATGAAGAGCCTGAAGTAGGTTGGGTGTGGGTATTTGGGACAAGATTGAAGGTAGTGTAGGACAAGGGTGGTTAAGAAACTGTGGTGGTGAGGAGGAGGAGGAGTTAAGAAGTGGGTATAGTTCAGAGACTCTGAAGAGGTTTGGAATGATAACTCTAGACCAGAACTCAACCCACACTTGGGAGGAGAGAGTTCGTTTTGGGCTTCTTGAATTTAGTTTCTATGAGATGTCTGAGAGTTTTGAGCTTCAAGGGCTAAGTAATTGCTCTTGGGGTTTTATTGATTTGATATTCCATTGAATCAAATTGGGGCAAGTTTAGTTATTTATTCTTAAACTTATCAGCTCTTATTTATGGGTCTTAAAACCGAGGAGATGTAATGAACTTAAGAATGGATAATTGAAGTTGACTGAAATTGACAAAATTTGAAGAGGATTGCAGGTTTATAAATTTAGGAGAAACAGATGGGATAACTTTTCTGTTGTTTTCCTCTGGTGAAGTGGCTGAACTCTATGTATACGTTCCTGTGAACAAGGTTGAGGTTTTTCAGCACCTGAGATATATCCCTTCTTCATTTGGGACGAAATTAACTTTGGTTAGCAAACGAATATTACATAGGTTCACTTGTAAATGACTAAATATTCTTATCCAAATGCACATGAAACCTAAATAACCTGATCCAATTATTATTTAGCAAGGGAGAAGGGGAAAACTGTACATCCAGTTTTATATTTCTAATTAATATTTATAACATATAAGTAGTAGTATGTTTAGATGGTTTGGTTGCATGCTTTAAAATGCAATCAGCTGCCCAAATGTTGCATTTATCCTAATGTATAGGCACATGCCTTCATTGCAGGAGTGAGATAACAATTCTAAATGCTGGTTAAAGGTAGAAAAGTTGGTGGGAGGGCAGAGGCAATGGCTGCACACTATGCTTTTGGCCCGCATGAAGATGATATAATTATAAAACATAGGCTTCTCACCCGCACAACCACTACAAGGGGTGAACCTCCCTTGAAGAAACTTCAGAAGAAGTTTACTTCCTTTGCTCTCGAGGTTGAGAAGGATGCAGATAACTATAGTGACTGTGAAAGACTTGCCAAAGCTTTCTTGCAGGAGTTTACAACTTTCGAACTCCCACTCCTCAAGAGCAAAGCAGTTATAGATGCAAATCTCAGGGAGAAGGAAAATTTTGGCGAGTTAATTGGTGAGATAAACAGACAGATTTCGCAGGCGCAGACTGATATAGAAGATCTAAAGAAACAACTTGAAGAGAGCAAGATTGAAAGGCAGCACAAGGAGGAGTGTGAGGCAATTGCAAGTTTAATTGCCACTCAGCCACCGAGATCAGAGACACAGAAGATCATAACAGAGCTAGAAAAAGAGATTACAATGTTAGAGGCGGAAAACACTGGTGCTTCGAGGATGCTGGAGCTTCGCAAAAAGCAGTTTGCTCTTCTGTTGCATGTGGTATGTATCGGCATTTGTGAAGTTCATACTATTCTACAACTTCAAATTTATTGGGGAATATTGTTGGCAAGAACTTATTGGTTGTTTTCATGGTAAATTGAATCAACTGACTTGACACTTAAGCATAAGAGCAAGAGCAGCAATGGCTCTGTAATTCTTGTTCCAACCTCCATTTCTCTTTTGATTTTCTAATATTCGGATTCTTGTTAGGAAGGCTCTTTTTCTCTCATTTTAACCCCGTATTCTGTCATTCTGAGTTTTTTTCCCTTTCAAATCACTAATATTGGTTCTGGTGGCTGTTGACTTCTTGTCGTATGCCTTTACAGTCTAGATGTTCTATTTGTTATGCACCAATCCAGGTTGAAACTGTTGATTGTTTTGACTCAAATTTCCAAACCAGTTGATGCAACTAGGAAATCAGTGTTAACTACCTCCATGCCACTGAATTTGGTTGTTGCTTATAATAACTATGGTACGGTCTTTATGCCAGATTTAGAAGTCTTGGACAGTCATTTTCTTATCACTCTGTGTTGCATTACCTCCCATGGCTTACAGCACACCAACTGCTGTTTTATCAAAATTATTAGAACCTAAGAAGCAAAAAACTTTCAAAAAGGAAATGTGCCCGTGACACATATCATACACGGACACTAACTCGGACATGTTTTAGACTTTGATCGTGTTCCTATTTGAAAATAAAATCAGAATTTCGAATTTATGGCCAACGCCTTCTGGACACAAGACCTCATAAGCTATGGTATGAGTTTCTCATAGCATGAGGAACAGTAGAGTTATGACTTAGATTAAGGTCCAATAAAAAATTAATGAACAAGGCTTCGCTATTTTTAATGTGAAAGTAAGATATGGGAACTTTTGGTTATATAGAGGGGGCATTTTTGTCATTATCTGTACAACTTGGTGAGTGCTAACTATTATTATCAATAATTTTAGAAGCTAATGTACCACAATAGATATATATTTTATTTTGTTCGTCATTTAACTTTATTCATATATGGACCGGGTAAATATCATTATTTATGAAAAATAAATCTATTTGCTGTCATGTCTTGAACATTTGCATATCTTACTTTTTCAGGATTTTTGCCTGTCGACGATGCGTTTTCCGTAGTCTCTGCCTGTGCTCCATAGATTAGAACTGAGAGTTGAGGCTCCTATGAATATAGGTGATAGACTACGTTTAAATCACTGCTAGGACTTTTTAGCAGTGCCATCGCAAGTCTTCTCCAAATTGACTCAGAATTGCGTACTTTACATACCATTTGTTGAAAATCTTAAATTGACATCCAGATAGAGCTTTTGTATAGCCAACTCCGAATGATTGGAATATAGGCTTTGTTGGGTTGTTGACTTGATTATAGAGCTTTTGTTGGGGATACTCTAGGACTTTTTAGCAGCCCCGTCACCTCTTCTCCAAATTGACTCAAATGTTATTATAGCTATATAACCTACCTTTTCTGTGAAATCTTTATTTGACGTCAAGACAGAGCTTATGTTGGAGATATTTCTTGTGTCAATGTTTTGGTACAATAAACTGAAGTGTGTAAAATGACCTGGGAAGCATTAGAATGTCTTATCTGTTACCAGATGGATGATTTAGGTCGAGTAAAATGGCAGCAAATGAGGATGGTTGCCCCTCTTATACTGTGGGGTTTGGGATGGATTTGAATCAACCATCTTACTTTGTGGTTGGTGTACGCTAGCATATTCATAGGTACTATTCCTGTATCAGGGATTAAATGGTTGTGACTTATGAGCTCTGCTTCTCATTTTCACTCATCTGATTGAACGTGATGCTTGCTCCTCTGAGGAATCCTGGCAAGTCAGGTGTCCAGTGATATTATTCAAATAGCCAAGGGAGTGTCATCTCTTGGTCGACTCTGCCTTCTTTTACTCCAATTGGTACCTCAAATATAGCTCCAACACTGAGAGCCTATGGCAAGGGGATTTTTTTTTTAATGAATAATTGTGCATTAGAAAAGACATGATACGAATTATTTTTATCATAATGGTAGACATCATTTTATTCATTTATGATGTCCCTTCTGAACGAAACTATTAAAAAAATTAATGGTTACTTCCATTTCTAGGAATCACGGATTTGATCTGATGCAATTAGCTGTGGTATTGGTTCCAATTTTTTCTTTAAATTCTGGAGAAGTTTGCATCCTGAAATATTCAATATAGTATTTTATAGCTAATCAATTAATGCATTTGTTGTTCTTTCCCTCGAACCTTTTTTGTGCAGGTGGATGAATTACAAAACACCATAGAGGAGGAGCAGAGAAGCTTGGTTGAGGAGATGAGAGTAGCAATGGATGAGCATAAGCATGGGTTGGAGGATGCTAATGGGATTTCAGAAGCCATGGTTGTTGATTAGCAACTCTCAGCATCCTTGTCTCGAACTTGTACGGTTGTGTATCTTTAGACCATTTTTATGTTTCTACATTTAGCTTTTTTGATGTTTAGCAATGGGTGCTGCAGCATAATCTCTAAATACAATTGCTCTAGTCTGACACTATTTCAGATGCATCAGTGAAATTTTGGAATTTTCACATACTTACAAGGGGAAGGAGGATAATTAAAAGAGGGAGGGGGGATGGTCTATGCTCCTGGCTAGGACTGATAACCGAGCTTGAACACATGGCTTTTCACTATTTCTTTCCAGAAAAGGTTGCTCATTCAGCCCAGCGGACCTATTGTTTATGCGGCAGTGCAATGCAGCTGAAAATGAGCCGAGCTCTGGTTCGATTATCGGCCCTACTCCTAGCTAATGGGTTGAACTTCCTAGTCTGGGCCATTCGACCTCCCTGCAATCTCTCCTGCATTATTTCTTGACGTTGATGGTTTGGATTAGTATAGAAGTGCATTTTTGTTGGTAGCAACAAATGCATTCCCTTCTTAGACGGACTAAAATTGTTGGTTTAGTGTTTTCTGGCAAACCAAAACTTCTTACCCTCTTGCATTCATGATATCTATATGTTGGTCATTGCAACAAACCAGATTTTTGGGGCAACAATTAACAATTATAGGAAAAATGTTATTTAGAGCTTAATTTGGGAATTTCGTTAATTACCATTGTTGAATTAAAAGTGGGCTCTATCTGATGTTTAGAACTCACAATAATTCAACGGCTACATTTAATTAGTCTCAAAATCAAGTCCCTATAGCATTGTTCAACTGGTAGTCCATGGTCAGCTAGGCCTTCGCAATGGGCCGGGGCTGCTCATAATTTTTTAGTCCATAACCTGCCTGTGGATCGGGCCTTTGGGTTTGGACTGGTCAACAGGCTGGGTTAGGCTTTCCTGTGTGGAAAAAATTTAAGGCCAATAGCCAGGCCACGGCTAGCCTATTGGGCCAAAATGTGGGCTAATTATGGATCAGGCTTTATGGCCCAGTTTTTGGGCCTGAAACGGGCTTTTTTTATGTAAAAATTACAAAATGACAAAAATTAATAAAGTATAAAATGAAAAAATAAATTAACGAAAAAAAATTCATATTAATTGAGTGTGGGTACTCTCAACAACATCTATCCAATGTTTGAACTCTAACTTCTCCGAATTAGAAAGTTATGAAAATCAATTTAGATACAAAAAATAAAAAATGAGCTTCAAGTGATTAAATTGTGGTGAAGAGATATTGAAATAATGAGGGAGGGTTGAGGAAAAGTTGTTTAATTTTTGTTAGGGGTGTTATAACTGTAATGTTATAATTGGTTGCGCTAATGGGCTGACTAACAGGCCAGCCTGTTGGGCCCCGGCCCAAAAATCCAGCACAAGCCCTACCTGCCGGGCTAACAGGCTATCCACAGCTGTCACGTGTACAGGCCAGGTGGCCTGTAGGCCATTGGGCTGCCAGACTTTGAACAGCCCATTGGTCTTTGGGTTTGGGCTTTTTGCTGAGGCCTATGGTCAGCTCGGGCAGGATAATTTTCTTGTAAAAATTGGGATTGAGTCTTCTTAGATGAACTTATAATGATTTGAATCTGTTATGAAAACTTATTTGGTGATAAGTCCATTTTTTATTTTACTAATAAGTATTTAAGTCTACAATTTTTTTAAATCTCAAAAATACCCTTAACAGTGTTATTGTGTTCAATTAAAAAAACCTTAAAGACCTTGAAAATAGCTTTAAATTAATTTTTTAAATTAAAAATTATTATCCCTTAAATTGCTCCTAAATTAAAATTCAAATTTATATTCTCTCTCTCTCTCAAAAAATCCTCTCATTCAATAACAAATACAAATCTTTACAATAACAATTACAAATCGTAATGTAAAATTTATTTTTTTTCTTCAGAGTAACATCAATTTTTTTATGTATAGTAACACAACGACTTCAACAAAACTCAAAAGATATATGTTGCACTATAAAATTAACGAAATATATTTTTACACAATAATATCAATGAAATATTTTTTCCTTCACAGTAACAATAATTTTTCCTTACTTTTCACAAAATACAGTTCACAAATAAAAAAATTACATTATTTAGAGTAGTAAGACATAATCGCCAGTTAAATTAGGACACTCATCATCACTTGTGAATGTCAAGACATCGAATATGTAAAAATGATTTTCCTCTTTCCTCGTAGTAACATCAACATTTTTCCACAAGTAACAAAATCAAGCATTTTCCAATTGTATTGCACAACAAAAGATCCACAAAAATTGAAACTTATATCATTTAATTTAGTAATAATGAAAAGCATTTTGAAACTAAGAATATAAAAAATAATGAAAATTTTGAAAACTTGGAGGCTTCTTCCTCTAATTATGGGCTTGAATGCTATTATTTTTATTTTCAATTTTGTTTCAATGTTTCATATTGCTATTTTTTTTTTGATGAGCATATTACTATTTTTGTTAAACATGTTACTATTATTATTTTTTTAAATATTAATATTAAATGAACATGTTACTATTATTATTATTTTTAAATATTAAATATTGAATAAACATGTTACTATTTTTTTTTTGTGTTTGAATGATATTATTTCTTGTGTTAAATGATAATTTTTTTTTTGTGTTTAAATGTTATTATTTTTTATTTTTAATTATATATATATATATATAGAGTTTTTAATTTTTACTTTTACTTCACTTCTAAAGAGAATAGATAGTCTGATAAAATTGACAAAAAATAGATTTCATAACAAATAAATTTCTTTCACAAACTTGAGTCCAAACGAGTGCATGTAAAAGGGCCGACCTCCAAATTTCCCAATTTTCTTTGATTGACCCTCAAAACAGTTACTTCCAAGAGTGGCTAATGGAATTGTTACACTTCCAAGATAGAAGCATAAAATACAGGCGAGATTCCTTTCAACGAATTTGGGCCCCTCTCTCCCTCTCTCTATGTGCAAAACTGGCATTGGCAAAATATCGCATTAGCTCCAACAGTGCAAGTGCTTGAACTGAAAGAATACTGGGCACAGGCACCGCCAAAGGCACGCACTTTAAAAAATGCGAACTTGATCATTCAAACAAATTGCAGAAGCGAAAGTCCTTGGACAGCATAATCTTTCCGTTTTGCCAAGCCAAGAAATCAAATCTGTTTACTTCGAAAGCCAATAGATAATAAGAAACAATGTACACGCCGCGATGACTGCAGATAGGATAAGTGTATCTCTTGAGCGCTTCCTTCGGATCGAACCTGTGAGTTGATTAAACAGTGTTACTGGGAAGCAAGTTTATTTTTTTCCTTAGACTGACCGACTGGGAAGTAAGTTAAAAGAACGAAATGCAGTAGCAGAAATGGCTTCAGAATAATACCAATTAGACCACGAATAATAGGAAATTTGTCACTTAATAGCTTCACTTTTCCTTGAACATCACCAAACAAGGACCTTTGGGAGCCCAAGGCTGCTCTTGTTGTTTGAGCTTGACTAATCACATCATCTATCTGCATATATTGTTAGCATTATGTCAGTGATCATGCAATTTAGAAACATGGTTATCGGGTCAGTTGCCACCCCGCAGCAACTGTACAAGCATCATTAGTTGACTGCTTTTTTAACTAAGCCATAATGAATGATAAAAAAAATGATTAAAAGACATTGGGGTATATATTTTGCAAAAGAATATGGAACAGAGATATGCTATCAAAAAGCAAGTTCAGTTTTACATGAGCTATGCTTCCATGTATGGCAGCTCTCTCCCGAAGTAACTGCATTCTTGGAGACATACTTCCGGAGGCCTGCATAAATGCATAGAATAGCATTAAAAAATAAGAAAGATTCAAATGAATATATATATAGATATATATACACTGACATGAGTCTTACTCACCTTATACTCACTGATATCATCTCTTACAGAAGTGAGAAGCTCTGCATGTTCCCTCATTGAGTTTATGTTCCCCTTGGTTCGTCTAAATTCCTGGAGGAATGAATCAGGTTAGCTCAAAAAAGATGATGCACAGAGCCTACAAGCACAGTGGGAATCCTAGAAATCATGCCCTTCGTGTCAAACTATTCAATCACAATGTTGAAAGAACTAGAACAAGTCACCCACTGTGGTAATACAGAGTATATGACTGGATGACTGCATGAGAGAGAGAGAGAGAGATGCACTTTTTGATTCAAAGTACTATTAAATGTACGCTCACTAAACATCAAGTGTTCCTTGAAGGTTCATCCTGCAAATTCTATCCCTGAGATATACTTTCACTGAAACAAGTTGCTCTAAACACTACGTTACTCCCCTATTCTGAAAAATCTAGTAAGCGATATATGTTCAGAAAACATGACAAGTTCTATAAACAAATGGTTGGAAACTCTGTACAGCTCTAAACTGCTCAAGAAAAAGGAAATTGGAAAGGAATAATTTTAGTAAACAGCTAAGATGTTTGATCTAAGTGTGCACTGTTATGTGATTTATATTAATTCAGTGTATAAATTATAGAAGAAAAGAAATCATGGATCTGTGAATATCTTTTTCTTCATTTCCTACTCCCTTATTAGGAGGGTCAAATGTTGCGGGGGAGTGGAGGAGGGGAGGCAACGTGAACTGAGTGAATATTGAGTAATGTTTTACAAGCGAAATAAAAAAAAAAAAAAAGGGAAAAAACCTGGGTAAACTCATGAAGTATGTCCCTATGCCTTGCCAGCTTTTGGGTAACTGAAGTAGTAGGTGCAGCAGATGCAGCACATCGACTCATGGCATCATTTATGTCTAGTAGCTTCTCAAGCAATGATTGAATCTCCATTTCCACAGACTTCCATGACCTACTAGACGCCACAGTTGGTGAACGAGTATCCCCATAACCTGAACCCAGCCATTTAATTATCAGAAAGTATTCACCCAAAGCCAAATTACTCAACATGGGAACAGTGAAACAACAATTATGATCAATAACTTGCAACATTTTCTTACTAACTGATTACTGTGGTTGTAATAGCTCAGCAGTATCTAAAAAGCATATACCACAAATTAACTATCAAAGGATGAATCTAATCGTCTTTGCTCTTCAATCATGTGTTTCTTTTTCTTTTCTATTCCTTCCTTTATACTTGGGAAGTAGAGTAGGCGGAGGAGTGGCACATTTACAAAATGTTACTGTTGCAGCCTACAAAACACTGGATATCCATGCCTGCATGGGGGACAAAAGTTAAAACATGAATGAAATACAAAAATGCCTACAGTGTACTGTAGTCAAGACTCGAGCTCTAGTGCAAATGGTTGAGAGGACAGAGTGTGGCATGCCGTATGTGCAAGTTTTGCAGGATGTTTCAAAACTCAAGCAGGTTGAGGAAGGATTGGGGTGCTGGTCCAGTGCATTAAAAATTGAAAATGGTTGTGAATTGAAGCAACAAAGAAGGGAATGAGGGTTTAGAGACATCATTAACTGCATAAATGTAGTTTAAAGTAAAACACCAGAAAGTAGTCTTTTCTGTAAAGCACCTAGGAGAATAGAACAGAGAGAAAATGAAAGGAAAATATGAAAAGAGAGAAGAGGAAAAAGAAACATGGAAATACAGTCTCCAGACAAGAGATTAGAGTTGTTATTCATGTTTATATTCACTAATTCCAAAGGAGATTATTGCAAACCCTTCCAAAGGCATTAACCTCAAACTAACAGGTAACATTAAAAACTAGCCCTCAAATCAAGTCAATGTCAACTTCTAATTAGACCCTAACACACACAAGCCTAAAAAGACAAAAGCAACTAAACTCTTTCACCACTATATTATAACTATATAAATAATTTTATTTTTCTGATAGAATATTATTAATTAAGAAGAGAAAATAGTATATGAGAGGACAAGGAGTCCTCAAACAAATAGATCAACAACAAAAAGAAGAAACCTAAATAAGATCAAAAACTTAAAACAATAAAAAGATGAAAAAATGACATAATATTGTATTGCTACCGTAATAAGCTGCCACAAAAGTGTAATAGTACCTGATGCAGTAACACGACACAGTATTGCTACCATAACTTGAATATATCTCCTTCTCAATAAAAAAGGGAAAACAATTTAATGCATGACTGTTGTTATGACAATAAAATAACCTGACTCCACCGCAAAATTTCTTTTTCACATCAAAACAGCTCCCTCAGTAGAATGGATCAAAAGCTCAAAATTTTGGCTGTAGTGCATCTTCTCTAACCAAGCACTTGGTCATATAACCTAATAACCATAAATCCATAATGTCCTGTGCAAGTGCGAAAATTATGGGTTCGCTCTGATTGATCTTCAATTCATTATACAGGGTTTGCCTATAGCTTTCTTCAACAAAACTCTATTAACTTACAATCTCAATTAGCAGGGACCCATTATATAGCTGATTTTGATTAATGAAAGCAAAAAACAAATGAATCCTCAAATCATCCTGATAATCACAAGTCATAAAGGAATGGCAATTTCAACAATAAGATCCGTAATTTTGATTAATACCAAGATCAAATGATTACACACACACACACACACACACACAGACTGAGTGAGAACCAAACCACCTTGGGTGAACCTAGTGCCGAGCTTGGCATAGGAAGAGAGCTTGACGTCGAGATCGCCTTCGACTTTGCGAGCCTCTTTCCTCAATTCCTCCCAACCCGATTCCTGCAACACCTCCATATTCAGATCCATCATCATACCATACCATCATCCGAATTCCCAATCCCCGCCATCGCAGATCTGATTGACCCCGACCTTTTTTTCAGTTGCCCCTCCTCCTTCTTCTCCTAAGTTCGTCTTTCTTTTCCGATCAGCAATGCTCGTCTCCGTTCGCTATGATCTGAGAGTTGTTACTTCTGCTATAACGGTTGGAAATACTCGCACTGGATCGCACTTGCTACGATTCTTAATCACTGGTCTGAATCTGATTCAAACAACTTCTTTTCCCATCACTGAACACTCCACCGAATTGAACACAACCTTGCATAGAAAACATGGTAGATGAAGATGGGCCTTCCATGGAAGGAGTAGGGAGGAGAGAGATGGGTACCTTAGCGAAACAGTACTTGGGTTGAAGGAATAGGTCTGTTGAAATTATCCCTAGACATAGTTTTGGGTCTACGTCGTTTGGGTTGGGTAGACATAGGCTCAGTTCTAGCCCAAACAATAATTAGGTGACTAATATTAATTAGACAGTGTGTGGTTTGGCGAAGGTTGTGTATGGGCTGGTTCGGTGATAAATTTTTTGGGTTGGGCCAGCCCTAGGTCAGGTTCCATCTCACGAAAGTGACGGGCCTGAACGGGCCTTCGTGAGTTGTAAGGGTATTTAAGTGCTTTTACATAGTTGGAAAGTTTAACATAAAAGTTTGTCCTTAATGTTGATTTTCTGTACACAATGCCATGAATTTTGAATTACAGAAAAAATAAAGTAAGAGAAGAAGTTAGAAATGTCAAGCACTTATTTAAATATAGGCAGCATATTCAAGATAATGATGAAACACAGATGTAAAGTCTGACTTGGTCTACCAAGGAGCCATAAGGAGAAAACCAAGGCCATATATATATATATATATATGAGATTAAATTCATTTAAGATTGATTCAATTTTTATTTATTTTGATTCAATTGTATAAAATTTATCTTAATTTTTTTTATGTTAAAAAAATATCGTCTTCTCTGCACGGCCCCTAACGTTAGATAATTCAATCGACACACTCTCAAATACCAAACAACGTTACTAATCAACACCTACGTCTCTATTTTCTCTCTCTCTCTCTCTCTCTATTTATTTTAATTTTAAATTTTCTATTAAAAGAAATTTTTTTGATATTTAACATATAAATATTACATGATTAAAGTTCGTTTTTTTATATTGCAAAGTGTATTCAAACATTAGAATTATTATTACTAATACATATCTATATTATGAAGTAGCTTACAATTCAAATATCAAAAGATAAACAAAATGACTTTTGTTATTTGCTGTTGAAATCACTTTAAATTTTACTTTAAAGTTAATCTAACGGTTAATATTAACACCTTAAATTTAATAGGGAAAATGAACTCCTAAAAGTGTGTTTGGAGTGACTTTCTAAAAGTACTTTTAAAAATTATTTCTCATAAATATTTTTTTAAAAAATAGTGTTTGAAATCGCTCCACCACTACCGCCACCTCCACCACTGCCACTCCCACCACCATCATCGTCATCGCCGCCACCACCACCCCCACCCCTGCCACGCCCACGCCCACCATTGCTGCCACCGCCACACCCACCACCACCACTACCACCCCCACCACCACTATCACCACAGTCATTGTCACCCACCATAACTATCATCGTCTCCTACCACCACCACTCCTGCCTGTCACTTTTTACCCTCACTATAAATCGATGCTTAAATTCTTTTATCTCTTCTCTATGTTTGTAATTTGAGTTTGGATATGAATACAAATATGTTTATTGTTTACTATTTTTTATTATTATGTTTTTAAGAACAGACAATAACTAGTAGATATATATATCATCTTGAGGTAAGGTTTTTTGGGAAGGTAAAAAAAAATACCTCAAGATGATATATATATCACTAATAATAATTACGCGTGTAATACACTCTTCAATACAAAAAATTGAGATGTTACTTGTATATATATCATCTTGAAGTAAGTTAAAAAGTTAAAAATGAAATTAAAAAAAAAACCTGTCAAAAAAATTTGAATAATAGGATTACAGATTTATAATGACTAATATTTCGAGGTCCCAAATTAGTCTCCCAATAAATTTTTCGACTAATCTACTTGCATGCATGATATTGTGAGTGATTACATGCATGTCAAATTAACATAAATATTATTGATAGTGTGTTTAGCACAGTTGATTACAGGCGAACTCTTTGGGGATCAATGGAGTGTCTAGTTCATTAGTTCAAAAGTTTGGTTAATCCTCTCTAATGGAGTATTTTGTTCTTTGAGAGTTGTCTATTAATTGGGGGAAGGGGATTACATACAGTAGATATACAGACGATTGCTCCATTTAAATTCGAAGGACTTGATCTCTATTTATAGTGTACAGTTGTCTTGCGTGATTATCTGGTATGATCTCTACGATCCTTCCCCAACCAATGCCATCATAGCGTCATCAACGTGATTCCCTTGAAGTGGTTGTAAGTCATGTGTTAGAATATTTAGTTGTTACTAGTTATATTTCTTAAGCATGACGCGACTTTTTGGAGGGTGTCAACTGTCGTTGTCATCACATGCACAAGAGTTTCGTTGCTGAAAATTCCGACTTACACATCTCGAACTAGTGATCATGAGTTGTTTTGGTATTATCAATTATGATTCTCAAAAGACGCATGGTTGGGCTACTACTTTTCGATCATTTGAAAAAAAAAACCGAGAAGAAGACTAGAAATGATGTATTATGTATACAAGTCAAATGCATCTGGAACATTATTATTCATCAGAAAACTGGAGTAAAGAATAGTATATATGTGACTACGAGGAAGTATTCGAAACACACATTATAAATCAGGGCACTTCTCTAATTTTTTTTGTTCAACAGTTAGGAGTTATTCAGGTTAGTTTTAATCCACACTAAGATTAAAATATTCATAAAAAATAAATTTTTTACATAATTTGATCCAAAAAATTGTTTAAATAATAACAAAAGCGAACCGTAAATCCAGAGGCGACTTCTTTAACTTTGTTCCAAAACAAAACTCAACTACTCTTTTTGTCTACCAGGAGTATTATATATTCTTGTCGAGGGTTGTTAAACCCATGCAACTATTAACAAAGAAGAGTCACCCAATTGCAAAGAAGTCCGTACAAATGTTAGAAAATGATGACAAGCGCAAACAAGTGGTAACGACTTACTTATTGGATTAAAACAGTCAAAGAAATGTTTTTCAAGAGTCCCATCGTCGGTCTGGAAGTTGGAAAAAATGGCAATCTAGAAACAAACAATTAGACATAGGACACCCATTACGTTGTTGATAACAGGACGAAGTTAGAAAATTGATATTCAATGAAGACTTTAGTTTAGTGGTTGAGTCAGTATTCTTGCGAACGAAAGATTTTGAATTTAATATTTCTTATATTCTCTAAGGACTAGTCACTTTTATTATTTAGAGAATATGACCTTAAATTAGTTTAAATTACGGTGACTAATTTAAAATTCGAGGAAATAGTTAGTGTAAATCTAGACACCCAATAACAAAAAAAAAATCAATATTCATAATGTATAAAAGCAAAAAACAACAAAAAAAGATTAAAAAAAAAATCATATTTATAGCTATTCATAATTGACCCAAACTATTTTATATTTTAAAATCATTGCATGATATCAATATGAAAATGCATTTCTCTCTACATACACAAATTACTTTATAATGACATTATTTTTTACATGGTACCAAAATAATCTCATTTGTTTTTTGAATTTACAAAATGGGCTCAAATATGTCTAAAAATTTATCCGAATGTGTCGAAAACATGTACAAAAATTGAAATATGATTGTACTATTTAATACAAATAGAGTGGGCATTCCTTAAAATCATTAAGAAATTATTTAGATATATGTAAATAATATTGAGGATAAAAAAAAATTGAGAGTGAACATGTGCCCACACTAGTCATTGAATAGTGATTGGAAAATATTTTTTTAATATCATACTTTTATTTTTTGACTAATTAAAAATGTATCATGTGTATGATTTTTTTTATTTTATAATTAATAATTATAGATCATTTAATTTAAAATTGATGATTGAGATTAATAGAAGCAAGGTACCGACCTGTTTAGTGTTTTTTTTTAAACTTTTATAAAATAAAGAGTACCATTTAATCTAAATATATTTAAACATCTTAAAAAACTTTTAATCATTTTGAAACATCGATGAAAACAAGATGAAATATATTGAAATATTCTGAAATACATCAAAATATATTGAATCATTGAAATTGTAATTCGACCACTGATTTGTTTCAGTTTTCTTAAAAATGGTGACGTTTAGGTATTTTTGAAATAAAATTTTAATCCTGGCATATTTCATATTTCACCAAGGAGGCTAAATCTATGCTGCCCAAAAGGTTGCCAAAAAATATGTACCAAATGACGTGGAAATTATAGTTTAAGACACTTCAAGGTATAAAAAAATAGTTTGACGAGTCTGATTGTTAAATTTTAAAAATACGTAATATTAGACATCAATTTTATCATACAATGATTTTATCTGAAAAAATGTCAAAGCATTAAGATTGAGGAAACGAAATTTAAAACCTAATTTATAATATTGTCTAATCCCAAAAAATTAATAATATAAGATACAGACAACCTGGAATCAGACCAAAATCTTTTTTTAAGAAACAAAAAGGCAGAGAAGATCATATGAAGAAGAGAGAAAAATACTATTAGATCAAATAAAGCAGAGAAAAAACTACTATTTAAAAAAGGGAGTCCGCTTTCATAAGATTAATCACAAGTAAGATGAACTGTCCAAAAAAAAAAAAGAAGCCCACAAACTTAAAAGTCAACTAGATATGTTTCGTATAAATTAGTTTGTAATTCCTACGTAGCAAAACTCATCTTCCAAACCGGTGGGCCCACCCATTTTGAACTGATGCACGCACTACGTGTCGTTGATTGCATGCCTGGCCCAGGTGGGCCCACCTGTTCGGTCTTGACCGAACGTACAAATCGAATTGTACGAATTTTTTTAATATCTAGTCTGTAAGAATAAAAATTTATTTTTATTTTCATGAAAAATCTAATCCCCAATATATGATTAATTTTTCATTAATATTAGGTTGAATTATCCATTGTTAATTATCACCAATCGTATCCACCATCACCACAACCACTACCTCGTCTTTACCTCGATCGTCATCTCCACCTTACCTCAGTTGCGATAAAATTTTGAGTCTGAGATCCTGGGTTACGTCTGCATTTGAGTAAGATTTTAAGTCTTTGTCTTAATTAAAGAGAGTAGGTTCAACTTTCGGTTTAAGACTAATTTGGGTCCTAGCCTAGGTTCAGGTTAAGGTTCGAATCAAGCCTAAATTTATTGCGAGAATTAAGTTAAAGTTCAAGTTTTGAGTCATGTAAATTATTCTAGGATGAAAGTTTTGTTAGAAAAAAAAAATAGTTTTAAATAAATTTATTTTGAGCAATTTGAGACTTAAATAAAAATAGAACCCACACCTCAAAATTAGTGGGATTAAGGTTAAACGAGTTATCTACCGTAAGAAGATTAACATGGTATATTTATTTGTCTACAATTATTAAGATTTGAATGAAAAATTATATCTCAAAGTAACATATTTGAAGTGATGAAATAAACTAAAATTGGTGTAGTAAAATAAGATTTGTTCTACATCGGAAGAATACCAACATTTTGGTGAGTTAATATACTTTTAGTTGATGTCATGAGTTGGGCCTCAAGGAGTACTACACTTATGTAAGTAGAACGAGCGTCTATACTACTTTGGTTATTACACACACGCGCACATTATCCTCGCTCGCCACAACTGGGCTTGGCTTGGGTTTTTGTCAAAAAGAAATAATTTTTTTAAACAAAATTTATTTAGAGCGATGCGGGTCATGGGTCAAATCAATTGAATCCAAACGAGAATTAAAATTCCAACCGAAATTTAAATTTAAATCGAATTTTAAATTTCTTCTCGTTATTTTCTTTGAACTTCGCTCCAAAAGAGTTCTAGGTTCATTCCAAGATGTGTCTCTTGCCTGTTCAGATTAAAGAATGTCTTTTTAATTTGAACAGTGACAACCCATACCTTTTTTAGGCAATCTAAACAGCCACCAAAGATTTATAAATAGACTATCCTTTTGTCATTTCAATACATTCCATTCTGAATTCCAGTTTTTAAATTTTTTCTCTCTGCGTGCATATTGTTACACTATTATTTTGGTTCGATTTAAGTATAAACACAAGTTGTGTTTGATAGAATCTTGAAGATTGAAATACTGCTTGTTCAAAAAGATAAAATTTATTCAATCTTGGGAGACAGTTACTCATTGACCTTAAGGACGGAGAGGGAACAAATCTGTATTAAGAAGATTGTGTTTCACAATACTTGGATTAAAATTGTGATTTTTCTTATTTATTGTTCGTGCTAATTTGCATCCATGTGACTGTATTGATTTTGATTTCTACACATTTTATTTAAATTAGTGCATAAATTAAATTTTATACAATTTAATATAATCTAATCATATCCATATTTTCCATAACAAAGTTCACCCAAAAGAACTGGTGTTTCAAGGGAAATGAATCCTTTTGCATGGCCTAGTGTGATCTGAGTTTGACGTTGATGTAATTTATTTTCATACTCTTTATTTATATCCACTAGAAACAATAAAAAATTTATTTGAAAAACCAATTCGATTAATATAACTCAATCTAGCTTGTTTTTATCAAATTACACTGATGATATTTCGACATTGAAGTTTTCATCAAATTTGATAAATTTTAGCATTGAATTTTTTGTTAAATTTGAATTTTTTTATCAAATTTATTTAATAATTACTCAATTTCCACATACATATATATATTTTGATTTGATGTCAACCGCTCGTGGATTAGAATCACACATAAAAAACATAAATAATCACTTTATTTCTTAATTCTGAAACCTAAGATATCGAATTCAAATTTAAATTATTAATACAAAATATTAATTAATATTTAATTAATTAAATTTAAATCAAAAATTCCATTCATCGATAAACATAATGACAACAACAGAGTCGTCATACCTACCAAAGCAAGCACATTAAATACCAGGACCCAAAAAAGTATAATTTAATCTCAAAAAAAATTACTATAAATATTGGTATTCTGGTCCCCTTCTCCTTCGCCCGGCCCCCCCCTCCACCCCCCCCCAAAAAAAAAAGAGGAGTCTTCCTCTAACAACCCAAGACCTGGTCAATGCCATTTAATGTACAAACGCATATGTATAAATGTGCCAAATACGTGGCACGTTCAAAGCCTACTTGTAAATGGAAACACCGTGTGATTGAAATTGTTCAGCTGTACCCTCCAAATTTGAACAAACAAATTACCATTTTGTATAAAGCTAAGTTAAAAATTTTGATCATTGAATAAGTAGTGGGTCTTAATAAATATTTAAATTTATAGTGAAAATAATAGTTAAAATTATCAAATTTAATTTTTAAATCTATTTTTTAAATCTATGTAGCATTACTTAATGTTCAAGCCCAATCAAAATCCAGCACGACAACTCTCCAAAACCTCAAAACGTGTATAGGATGATCTCCGCTACCAAACTTTAGTATAAAAGTGGAAGACGTACAGTATATCTCTATATTTCAAAAAATTACAACAAACCCCATAGTTTTTGAATTTACAATATACTCTCTTTGAGTGTGGTTTTTTTTATTAGGTTACTCTCTCTTGATTAGGGTTGTTAATTAAATTAAGTTGTTCAAGTTCGGTTCGAGTTCTATTTTTTTTTAAATAAGTTAAATTTAAATAATTTTTTAGATTTGTTTGAAAAATAAACCCAATAAGTTTGACTTGAATTTAACAAACTTAACTCGTTCATATACAAATACTCGGGTTTGGTTTAGATTTAGTTTGTTTACGGATCATTAAAGCTCGACTTGTTTAAAATCAAGTCGAACTTTAATAATTTTTAAGAATCAATTAAAATAATAAATTTTTTAGGTTGGACTCAAACTTATTTGACTATCAACCCTACTCTTGATCAATGATTGAATAACAAAATGCCCTCCATCTCTTGAGCTAGCGTAGGTTTGGGAGATTGAGATTTGTGGGTCGAATGAGAATTTGGGAATTTATGAAAGAGAAGTTAATTGGGGGGTTACAAAAAAGGAGTCCAAGTCGCTTAACAATATGTGATATTGCGTCTAGTTGATTGAATTATTCAAGAGAGATTCATTGGATCGTTTTGTTTTTGTGGGGGGAGGGGGGGAGATGATGGAGGAGAGAGAGTATATTCTCTCCAGTTGGCAACTTTTAGATCCATAGAATTTGCCAGTTTAACAAAAGAATAATGCAAGTGTACCCGATGGTTTGATCAATTATTTGTCTTTGTACTTTGTACTTATATGGCTTTGTTGTAATATCTCGCCGTTCCAACCTTATCAACAACCTAGTTGTACTCTCTCTCTCTCTCTCTCTCTCTCTCTCTCTCTCATATGAACGCATAGAAATGTAGCTTTCTCTCTCATTCTATATTTTCTTCTTCCCATTAAATCGCGTGTCGACCATTTCAAGTGCCCCTCGCCTACTCTTCACCTTCCTCTCTCTTTGACTTGTATAACCCTCCCTCCTTTATAACCCCCACCATACCCATCTTCTTAGTTTCTCAGCCTACCCATCTTCACCACCCACCACCAGCTACACCGCCATTAAAGCTTCTCTCTCTCTCTCTCTCTCTCTCTCTCAAGCGTTTCGACTGCTGCGAAGTGGAAGATAGGAAACTTTTCGAATGAAAATCTCATATTGTAACGGCAAAACCCAGCATGTCAAATATACCCACCTCTCTTTCTGAAAACTGTCTCACTCTCTTTCGCTTGGCCATGTACGTCGCTGACCCTTGGCCTTTTTCTTAGAACAAAGCTCTTCAAAACTCTCTCTCTCTAAAAGCAATTCTTCTGCATATTCTTCTAATTAACCTCAGCCATGAAAAAGATCCGAGGGTTCTTGCTAAAACATCGGGTCACCACACTTTTCCCGTGCGTCTTCCGGCGAAACCGATCACCGTCGGTGTACCGCCGGTTGGACTCACTTCATATACGCAAGATCCGACCCATTTCCAAACTCTTCAACTGGGCTCACCGGTTAAGAACCAAAGCCAAAGCCATATGCTCCAAGAGTTCCTCTCCGGGTTTGGGCCGTGGTTACGTGCAGATCGGGCAAGACACCGTTGAAGACAAACACGTTCCCGTTCCCAAGGGTCACATGGCGGTGTATGTGGGACAGAAAGACGGTGACTTTGAGAGGATTATGGTCCCTGTGATATACTTCAATCATCCATTGTTTGGGGATTTGCTGAGGGAGGCTGAGGAGGAATATGGGTTCGATCATCCGGGTGGGATTACCATACCATGTCGGATCTCAGAGTTTGAGAGCGTCAAGACCAGGATTAAGGCGGGTCAAAATTCCCGAAAAATACTGACGTGGAATTAATACCATTTGCATTTAGATGGTTTTATTGATGATGACGACGAAAATGCACCATTAGTTGTGCTGATAGTGATATCTAGGTTTTTAATTAGCCAATTTTTATATATTTTCTTTCTTTTTTTTTTGGGTGATACCCTTCTATTGAGATTCACTAGATTTTTTGATTGCCTTAATAAATCATAGTTGTAAATATTTAGAGATTTTTTTCATCCACTCAATTACTTTTTTTTTTTAATAATTAGGAATGTTCAGATCAATTTACACATATTTCAATTAATTTTTTCTCAGTTCTAATCAAAAAAAGATCATTTACAATAAGATTAAGGTATTTATAAGAAATAAATTTTTTATAATCTAATTTCAAAAAATCATCAAGATTCAAATTTAAAACGTCTGAATTTATAATTTATTTTTATTATTAATTGAACTATACTTTAAAATTATTTTAACATTCATCGTCGATGTAAATGTGGAGTAAATTAGACTTGTATTTTAACAATCTTTCTCGATTTATGTGTTTTTAGGGATTTTCAATGGAAAATGACAAATTTAGAAAATTCACCTTAAAAAAAAGACAAAATTACCAAATTTGCCGTCAATCAATGAGTCACCACAAGTGTCATTGTCATCAATGTTGGAAGAAATAGTAAGGAATCTATACAGCCACCATTTGATGCGTGTTGCGAGGCAGGCTGTGCTCACCTCCACTTGATGGGTGGATGAAACACCATAACATTTTACATAAAAAAAAAAAAAATCTACAAATGAGACGTATGAACAAAAATTTAATTTTTCTAAGAGTTAAGAGAAAGATAGTGAAACATTTTCTTCTCAGGCAACGATGATGCGACTTAACATAGATAAATTATAAATTTATACGTCTTAAGTTTAAATTTGATAACTCTAAAATTAAATCATAAAATATTTATCTCTCATAAATATTCTAATTTTGACGTAAATGACTTTTCGTAAATTTATTCAAATACTCTTGATCATTAAACCAAAAAAAAGCTTTGAAAGAAATATGCAACTTGACCCTTCAACTACTTAGGTGCAAGTTAGAAGATAGGAGTAGCATATGCGAAAATGGAAATCTTATTTTGAATCAAAAATTTAAAAATAAAAAATAAAAAATTCTTCAAAGAAACTTCCTTGGAGCCATGTTATTATGATGTAGACAACATTTGGAAAACACATACAAATCACTAAAATTCACACTCAAAATGCGTGAATTTATATCTTTGTTTAAGTTCGATCAGTGCATAAATTCTTGGAAGAAGAGGGAACGAGCCTATATGAAAAAAAAAGTTCAAGTAAATTCAACGACCAGATATAATCAACGGTACGACAAACAATAGTGTCTATACGTTAATTAATTTATAAAATCGACCCATCTCAATTTCACTAAAGGATTTGCAAATGAATGTTAGGCTAGGCCATCTCGAATGGCATGAGCCCAAACCTTGTCCTGCATTAACTGGCACACTTGTAAGGATTCATACACAATGTCCTATTTCTTCCATTGATTCATGAATAACTTCAATCTCTCACCAACAGTGCCTTCTTTCGAAGGCATTTTTAGGTAATAGAAAAATGGAGCACGAACATTGAAGGATCGTGTGATCGTAAAAAAAGACGAGAGATTTAAAATTCATTGCTAGTAATAAAAAGAAAAATCGTGATTTCAAGACTTAGTCTGAATTTCGATATATTAGTAAACTGGAAGATTGTTAAAATGGGATGCTAGAAACAACATTTTATTTTGATTTTCAAAAAGTATTAATATAATTGTATTATGGATACATGTTACTTATTTGGTTGTTGTATTAAAAATAGATGAATTAAAAAAAGTAATTCAATCTAATAAAATACAAATTGACAAAAGACAATATTAAATAAGATATTAGAATAATACATAATTTTATATAGTATCTGACAATACACAACATTGTTATAGAAAATGTGTATATAATTAGACTATATTAAACTGTATAAAGTCTAATTTATGCACAAATTTAAATAGAATGTATAAAAATCAAAATCACTGCACTTACATTGACGCAAAACAACACAAATAATAAAATCTAGAAATCCAAAAATTCAATAATAAAAACAATAATCTAAACTCTGTGTAGTTACAGTTTTCTTTAGATAGATTTGCTTCCTCTCGATGCTTAAGCTTGATAATCAAGTATCTCTCAAGATAGGACATCTTTTGTTCTTAAAGATGCAACACTTCAATCTCTAAGACTTTAACGAACACAATTCTGTGTTTATAGTTGAATTGAACTTGAAATAATAGTGCAACAATATGTAGACAGAGAGAGAGAAGAAAGACTGAATACTTAATTCAGAATTTTGGATAACTGAGGGAACTAGAATAAGATAACAATTTTTGAATTGTTCAATAATATGTTTTGAGAGTGCAATAAATCACCTATTGATAAACGCACTAGTGGCTCTTTATAAATGGTGTAACCATATGTAATGGTAACTTTTAGTCCAAAGGGTATTAATGGTAATTTTTTTTAAAAAAATACAATCATTTGAAATATTATCTTTTAGTCTAAAAGATATCAATTATGATTTTATGAAAAGTTATGACTATTTATAATGGTATATGTTAATCAAAAGGAGTAAATGATAATTTTATGAAAAGATGTAACTATTTGAATTTGTGTATTTAACCAAAAGTCACCAATTTTGAAATAATAGTCTTTCATGTTATATTCACTTCACACATTTTCAATTGCTCCCAAAAGTTACTAAGATTTTAACAATTTCTTATTAAATTCTTAATGATTTTTTTAAAATAAATATATCATTATTTCTAACAATATAAACATTGAATAATAATTATTTAATCCAATCAATTGTTTGGTTAGATAATTATTTTATTGTATTAATGTTGAATTAATAAAAATATCCTCAATCAATGTTTATTATATTGATAACAACTTGATTTTATTAGTTGGAGGATTATAATAATAAATATGTAGAATAATACTTTTGAGTTAGAAAAATATCTCCATAATATATGTCTATCGTATAAAAAATACACAATAAGTATATATTTTTGAAATTAATACGATATCAAATTTACTTATTAAATAAAATATTAGACTCGATTAAAAAAATAATATAATTTAATATTTAATTTCCTCATAATATATCTATCAAACGTGTCATGTAATATTCAATTTTCTATCGTAGTATTATCTTATACAGGTGTGGGGATAAGGATTGCAACTTGTGAGGACTGGACCATTGGCTTCAAAGTCCAATTGAGAATAATTACACGTTTGTAGAGCACAAAGTTGGATGTTACAAGTTGAAGTGTTACCGAAGGATTAGGTAAAAACGACGTCACTAATATGGTCTCAACTTCAAGGGTATTATAGGAGGGCTGATAATATGCTTAATCTAACCTCCAATTGTTGAGGAAGACTTCAGTGTTGACGACGGTATTGTACCAAAAATTAAAATTTTTAAGGGTAAGTTATAATTTTTTGAGAGAATTTTACATTGCACCCCAAAAGATTTAAACTTTCTCACTTTGTACCTTTAAAAATGAGATTTTTTATATTGTACCTTCAATGTATTAAAAGTATGGTAATGTGACTCTTCTGTTATTTTTTGTTATTTATTCTGTCAAAACCCACTCCATTAAAGTTGACGGAATAAGTAACAAAAACTAACAGAAAATTACGTTGCAATATTTTTGATACATCGAGGGTGTAATGTGAACAATTTAATCATTAAGAGTGTAAAGTGAGAATTCTTAAATCTTTTAGAATGAAAAGTGAAATTTGCCCTAATTTTTTGGGGTATAAGTTATAATTATAATAAATATGATCATGATAAAAGTTAATAACATTTAAAGCTTAGGTTACAACTTCCAAAACTGAAGTTACACTTTTTAAAAATGAATTTATAATTAATTAATATTATTCGTGATCAATTAAAATATTTTATGATCGATTATAAATAATTTCAATTAGTTATAATTTTATCCTTAAAAGATATAACTTGACATTTAAAATTATAATTTTTGATAAAATATTAATTTTTTTTCTTTTGCTACCGTAGCACTATCCTTGATTGTCACTCTTAATAAAGTTGAATTATGATTAAATTAAACAGTCGCTCCTTTTTAATGGGTCAGTACAAATCAGTTACATTCAATACGAACACGATTGAACACAAACATCCGCGATAATATATTATTTAACGATGAAAATAGAAAAAATGACTTAATTGAGGTAAAATTGGTAGTAAAGAGATTAGATTAGGATTATTGAAAGTTTAGAGACCAAATTAAAATCAAAGACAAAATTGAGGGACTAACTATTATTTTTACCCTCAAAATTATTATGAAGTAGATTGAAGTCACAAACTAATTTGGTGATATTATAATAAAATGTGGTTGTTTGAAACCAATTACAATATTTTAGACCCGATCCCAATATATATTTTTTTTATTGTAACTTGTCAAAAATTATAATTTATTAAGATTAAGTTATAATGTTTTTTAAGTGTAAGTTATAACTTGTAAAAAATATGATCGATTGTAAAAATTATAACTTTTAAAGGTCAAGTTACAATTTATAAAACAGTAGTTACAACCGATCGATCATAGGCTTTCTTTGATTAATTGTGACTGCTTTTTTCAAAGATATAATTTTCAAAATGATATCTTTTTTTTTTTTCCCATTACCGTAGACTTTGCCCCTTACCTCTTAGTCCGATGGGACGTCTATGCATAGCATTGTTCCATGGAACATGGAAGAATGAACTTACAACCAATATGTGCATGTGGTGACCAATTCAACCCTCACTGGTTCAATAATGGAGCTAGAAACTTTAAAGACGAAGAGGAATACAAAATATTAATGTATAAATTAAATATTAATTTTTGCGATTTAGAAGGCAATGGCCCTTGTAGCCTCAATGCAACCCCGCCCCTGTTTAATGCTAAGTTAAAATAAAAACAATAAGATGAAGAAGTTGATGGTGTGTGAAATGTGATTGAGCAGTCTTTGTATACTGCTGGGTTTGATCTGAGCTATAAGGCTCTTGGAAATAATGGTGCAATTCAGGAATAAGGGATGATTTACACGGAAGAATTATAGTAGTTTACCAGCTCAGGAGCTCAGCTAATCTACTTTTCAATAGAATCTCTTACTACTAAAAATTGTATTGAAGATGACCCAGGAAATACACAATCTTTTTAGTACTATGCTGGTTCCCTTGCATCGAAGTGAGGACATTATATAGTATTTATAGCATAGTTCTTAATTCTATAGGGTCTGCGCCGAGATCTTTGCCTTCCTTTAGGAATATCTCGCTTGATTTTGAGAAACGGTTTAGACAGTTGAAGATCTTGCGCCTAAATTGGCGTTTACTGCCGTTGAGGGGGCGTTCTATGGTTGTCAGCTTGTCTTCCACTCAATTTCTTCTTGGTGCAGGTGAAGGGAGCCCTAGGTCTGGACCTCTAAACTCAAGCTCTCTTAGTTGAGCTCTCTTCCTGACCTTAACTCTTGAGCTCAAATTTAGAATTTCTTCTGCGTATCATCATAAGTAAATGATTGTTATGTTGTTTAACAATTTGAAATTCAATCTGAATATCTTAATTTTAACAAATTTTACATAAAATTTAACTATATTTTTTTTAAATAATTACTTAATTTCTTTAGTTTTTATATAAAAAATATATAAATAATTCGGATTCAAATCCGTGAAAAAAAAGATATTGAATTTGAATTCAGGTTTGAGTTCGAATTATTGATAAAAAATATCAATTCATATCTGACTAAATTGGAATCAAAATTTGGTTCATTGATAGCCCAACAATGATTGCTTATTTGAAAATTATTATTATTATACCTCTTAAAACATCAAAGGTTTTTGATGAAATAAAAATGTTAGATGTAAAAGTTATCGTTTGCTAACCTTGTTTTAAGTTTTTTTTTTTGCTTTTTAATGGACTTTTTAAGTAGTGTTTATTTTTACATATTTGTATTTTGTTGTTTTTTTCTTGTCCCGGCTTCCTCCATCCTTTCAATTTTAGTCACGTGTATAGTATGCAAATATACAAATGGATGCCAAAAATCTTATAGGTCTACCACTTTTATAGCATAGTAATCAAATACATTTAAAGTTAGGATTTTAAACCTTACAAGTCTACTAAATATTTTCAGCCGTTTATTTAAATTTGATCCGAACCCAAATTCGTTTAAATGGATATAGACCAATATTTTCATTTGTTTATCTGAATATGATCCGAACCCATTTAGATATGATAAATCAGATATAGATATAGATATAGATATATAAAAATTCAATCTAATATATATATAGAATATACAAATTTATTGATTATTTATATTTGATATTAAAAAAAAAATTATTTGTTGAAATTTTGGTGAAATATCATTATGAATCGGATCAGCTAATTGAATCGGATGTCTGAATTATATGCAAATTCGAGTATGAAATAATATAATTCTATCCATCGGGTAAAGGGATTGAATATGATAACAAATTTTTTAAAGAGATTTGGATGGATCCGAATTTGATCCGTTGCAACGCCTAATTTCAGTCACAGTTATATATTTGGGGCTAACAAGTAGTTTTTTTGGGCCAGTTAAAATGTTGTTACCACTTCCATTCGGATCTAGATTTTTTCAATTACTTTTTTACACAATTTCATTTAATAGTACATCACTCACTGTATATGGATTAAACTATATTTCAACCAATTATCATAATACATCCATAATCGATAGTTTCAAATCATAGAGTCGAATTTAAGATCTCGAACTTTTTATTGATTTTATGGCTTCCTATCTACCTGGGTTTTGGTATATTGCTGCTTTCATTGGTGGTGGTAGGCAAGTAGCAACTCTTCTGGATCTATATAACTCTTTAATGTAATTATGCTTACAAGAACAAATTGAACCATTTGCAGTAGGAATTAGATGCTTTTATAGATACACCCTTGCCTCGAATATATTCGAACCCACTAAATTGTTATTGTTGCAATCACTCTATAGTGTTATAATCCAAATGGTATAGTTTTTTTCTCATCCAAACTTGATTTTGTAAGAAAATAAAACAGAATATGATCAAATTATAAACGAAGTTATAAGTAACCCAAGTCCAAACACTATAATACTTGGCTCGGTAGACTTGAGCTCTTGTTGTTGCTAATGCCATATGTAATTTGTGCCCAAAAAATGACGAAATAGTATCTCTCCCTCCAAATTGAACTATTACGAATTCAAGTATCATTGGAAATGAGCTTTTTTTTAGAAAAAATAAAAAAATTTACTCAGAGTCTTAGCTTGAGTTCGAGTTTGTAATTAAAAAACAAGCCTAGTCGAGCTAAACGTAAGAGGAAAAATCTAAACCCCATATCTAAAATCTAGCTAGAGTTGAGCTTAAGCTTGTGATAGTCAATTCGACAGAGTTTCTAGTCTTTCTTTGAAAGTAAAGTTGTTTGTTAATTTTTATGACTAAAGGTACTGAAAAAAGAAAAAAACTTGTGGACAAGATGATCTACTTAGAGAATCTACAAGTAGGTCCATGAAGACTGCATAAAAAAACCCCCCAAAAGCAACCACTCTCATTCATTCTTTCTCACACCAAGAAGCCAATGCATCAAAACAAAAATCAAATAAGAGAGGAACATGACACATTGGAAAAGAACAAGAAACAAAAAATGTTGAGAAGCCTTCACCAACACTCTACTCACTGCCCCATCTTACCTCTACTGAGACTCTCTTCTCTCCTCTTTCTCTTCTCTCTCCTCACTAACCATGGCCACCTTGTCAAAGCTCACATCTTCATGTATGCAGGCTGTTCTCGAGAAAAATACCAACTCAATTCACCCTTTGAAACCAACCTCAACTCTTTACTATCTTCAGTTATTAGCTATTCATCTCAGGCCTTATATAACAGCTTTGCTCCTGGAAATGATAGTTCTACATCCCCGCAAAGCGCGGTTTTTGGTTTATATCAGTGTAGAGGTGATCTAAAGGCAATTGACTGTTCCAGATGCATTTCAAGTGCTGTTAGCCAAATTGGGTTGGTGTGTCCTTACACATATGGGGCTAGTCTGCAATTAGATGGTTGTTTTGTGAGATTTGAGCACACAGATTTTCTGGGAAAACTGGACACAAGTCTTAGATACAGAAAGTGCAGTAGAAGTGTGAGTAATGATGTGGAGTTTTTTCGGCGAAGAGACGATGTTCTCGCTGATTTGCAGGGTGCAATAGGGTTTAGGGTTAGTTCTTCAGGTTTGATTGAAGGTGTTGCACAGTGTTTGGGGGATTTGAGTGCAGTGGATTGCTCTTCTTGTCTTTCTGAGGCTCTTGTGAAGTTGAAGAGTTTGTGTGGATCTGCTGAGGCATCGGACGTGTTCTTGGCGCACTGTTATGCTCGGTACTGGGCATCTGGCTACTATGATGCTTCTTCTGGTAATACTCATCTTTTTCCGCTTAAAGTTTCCACCAAAATCACAATTTTTACCTCTCCACTACAAGAATTAGGACATTATGGGACAAGTCTTTTGGGACATTTGTGTTTACCGTCACAAAAAAAACGTATTTTGAAGGAAGAAAAAATTCGTGACAATAATACTGTCACAACAGAGTTATTTGGTGTTGCAAATATTATTTGTGATGACTCGTCGCCGTTATAAAGACTTTTTGAAATTTCACGTATATTGACAATTAATGCCACCATAATAAGTGGAGTCTCAAAAACAATGGTCCGTCTCAAATATTATTAGAGATAACAAATAAATCTTTGTGACCGTGAACACAATTGCCACAAAAAATTTGTATCAAAAGACCTTAATTCTTATAAGAGTAATGTCTATCCTTGCCAATTTTGCTAGTGTTAGCCTGACTCGCCAAGTCGATACAAAATATATACAGATTTTTCGGATATACAATCAATCTAAATGGGTTGGATTATAATAGGTTGACTGACCGAATTCATTTACTAAATGGATTGATATGACTAGAGTTATGTATGATTATAATGGTTAGTGTAAGCACTACTTGTTAAACTGATACAAAAATATATCAGGTATACAATCAATCTAAATGGGTTGTATTATAATTGGGTTGATTGACCAAATTCATTTAGTAAATGGGTTGATATGACTACAGTTATGTGTGATTATGCTTGAACAATTTATAACAAATACAAATACTCATTACTACTATATATTAATAAGTCCGATTTAAGTTAAATTGGCAAATAAGATAGGCCAAGATCCGAACTTGACGTCCCATGAAATCTATGTTCATCTTTGTTCAAGGCAGGACACATTTGACCCCAATGTTATAGTGGCTCTAGCTAATGTTGCCAGTGGTCTAAGACTATCGAATGAGGACTACCTACAAGGGCACCAACAACAACCCAGCCCGAAGGATAAAGTCTAAGGCCAGTGAACAGATAAAGATGTGAACTTCATTCTTTTTTAGCATTTTGACCACTTTAGTTTACTGGAGAAAGAAAAAGAACCCACCCTAAAAATATTCAAACCCAAGGGGTCAAGAGCTAATTCTTTTATAAAGCATAAAGCCTTCTTGTTGGGGGGGGGATGCTACTTTAATTAATGCTTCCGTTTGGTCACATAAGGTCTTGTCATTTCTCCCTTCCATTTTTAATCTTCTCATTTCTTTTTCCCTACTTATGCTTTGCTTTGTTGTAAGTTACCTTTGATGTTTGGCGGAGGTCTTAATTTGGTTTTGTGGTTGCCAGTCCGAGACCAAACGAAGGGTTATAGTAAAACTTAAATTTTAAATGGATAAAATTGAACCTAAAAACATTATTTAGCTCTTGTTTTTGATAAATGTATTTGGTTAATACGACATTTTCCCTCAACAAACTACAAAATAAATAGAGAGAAAACTTTGAATAGGGCTGTTTATCCAAGCCAACGGGTAGGAATTTTTGAATTCCATGTTCTGAGTCGATGAGTAACAAAAAACTATTTCTTTGGTCAACCTTACCCGGAGGATAATATTCCGAGCCGAATTTCGTCCAAAAAATTGGCTTGGAAGGTCCGGTAAGAATGCAGAATGCCTCACAAATTTTTAAACTTTAAGTTATTAATTTTTGTGTCATTTTAACAACTCAATTACCAAATTTTTGGTCTATTTTTATAACTAGATTGTTAAAATATAATATAAAAATATGTAAACTAACACAATAAACTAATAAAACTAAAAAAAACACAATAAATCTGATTAATATGCTCTCGAATACTCTAAAACAACAAAAATAAAACACAATCATAAGTAATATACTTCCTAAACGATATTGTTTTATGACGAATACAATAACATCATTTTATAACACACATTAATTTTTAATAAAGTTAAATATACATGCGAGTCAGGTATGAATGCAAAAATTTTATGGATATTCTTTATTTCTATCCGATATTTGTGAAATACTAAAAAACTTTCCATTAGTCGGTCAAAAAAATACGAAAATCGAATTATCAGATTGGGTAATGTCGAAATATTCTGGAATGAATTGGGTGGGCAGAACTTTGAACACCCCTAAATTGCGTTGGATCACGTTATTTTATAATCATTAAATCTGTCAAAAATCCATTTTAAAGTTGGGTTGTAGTGCTTCCATTATAAGATTCACGATTTGCTTTAAAGTTGCGTTTGATGGACTAGAGAGATGTACTAAAAGAAAAGAAAAGCATAGTGTCCCACGGTTAGGGTTGTTAATCGTATCAGGTTAAGCGGTTACGTATCGAGTTAAACGACTGACAAGTAAAAAATATATAAATTCATACACGACATGTTTAATAAACGGGTAAAAAATCTCAATACGAACATGACTTGTTTAATAAACATGTAACACAACACACTTCTTTTAACCCATTTAATTTTAAAAAAATTATATCAACAAATTTTAATATTCTATTTTTTTTATTACTAATTGCACTTATCTCAAAAAAGAAGAATTTGCAATCAAATCTCATAAAATAAGACTCGAAGGTTTTTTTAAAAAAAAACAAAAGGCTATTGTCTTTTATAGGCAACTCACCCTTCTCATCTCCCCTCATTTTCTAATGTGGGACAAAAATAAAAGACATTAGTTTGTCTTTGTCTTTCAAGTGTTTTACAACTCCTCTCCTTGTCTTTGAAAAATATACAACTCCTCTCATTGTCTTTGAAAAATAAGACTTGAAGGCCTTAAAAATAAAACAAGAAGTCATTGTCTTTTATAGGCAACTCAACCATCTCTATCTCCTCTCATTTTACAATGTGGGACAAAAATAAAAGACATTTGTTTGCCTTTGTCTTTAAAGTGCTCTCCAACTTTTCTCCTTTGTCTTTGAACTACTACTTTACTTTTTTTTTTATTGATTTCTTTACTTATTTTTTCTTGCTAATTTTTTAAAATAATTATTAATTTATTATTATATTAATTTTATTTAAACGGGTAAACGTGTGATAAACGGTTTGACAGGTTTAACCTGAAAACGACCCGTTTATTAAACGTGTTTGGCGTGTCAACCCATTTATCACCCAAATCCGTTAAGATTTCATTCAAACCCGTTTAATTCGTGTCGATTCGTATCGATTAATCGTGTCGTGTTGAATTTTGACAGTCCTACCCACACGGTAATCATGTCAACCCCCATATAGTTGCAAGAAAGCAAAAACTCTTTAAATTATTGTAGTTCATTTTCTGCAATCTTTGGTAAAGACCCTTTATAATCAATAAGTAATTAAAACTAAAAAGGATGAAAACAAAGATTTAAGGACAAATAAATGGGAGTGACAACCTTGTTTAATGTCTTGTCTATGTTTAGGAAAAGTCTATGGTATTAATCCGATACCTGCTACAGAAGGTTACAATCCAATAAGGTCTATAAAATATTATCAACGAGATTGAAAATTTTGGGATTGATTAAAAAATATTAAGATTAGTCCCAATTTTTTTAATTAATCCTAAATAGACCCTCCTTGGCTTGTAATTTAATGTATTATAGTTGTTATTGATTGTAAGTTTCTCTATTATGCAAAATCGTTCAATTTATGTATACCATAGTAATATTTGTTAATGCTCTTGCTATTGTTGTTGATATAGATTCCTCCGACAAGGATGAAGTAGGAAAAACAGTAGCCATAATCGTCGGCGTAGTGGCAGGCGTCGCAGTGGTGATAGTTCTTCTCTCATTTTGCAGAAAAGCAGCAGGTGAGGTCCTACTCTCCCTAATTTTTGTTTTATTTTTTGAGCATTTTATTATCAACCATAGGATAACACTACGATGTCGAGTTTGGCACCATATGTCAATTTACAAAAAAGAAAGAATTAATTACAACTCATTCTAAATATATAAGATACAATTCAATTAATGCTTTGTTTGGTACAATAGAAAATGGAAAGATGAAAATTTTGAAGAATGAAAAATTGAATGCATAGAAAAAACATCATGTTTGGTAAGGAAGAAAAATATGAATGATGGAAAAATGGATAGATTAGTTTTTTTCTAACTCATCACAATCAATTTTTTCAAAATTGAGAGAAAAAATGGATAAAAAGTTAATTATGTGTATTAAAATGTATGTTATTTACCTATATATTATTTAATATGTCTATATCATATTTATTTATTATATATTATGTATATGTTAACTTTATATATAAATATAATGATAAAATATGTATATATATATTTTTTTCTTTATCAATACTTTCTATTTTTTATTCCTTCTGCTAAACATTGAAATACAAATGAAGGAATAAATCATTCATCTATTAAAGATAAAAAATAAATCTTTTCTTTTTTTCATCCACCCAACCAAATACATCATAAATAAGGTCAAGTTATAACTCAAAAGAGATCGATATTGGCCCAAGTGTTGCGATGAATTCCAAACATCATATTTGGTAATAATATCATGAGATTGAGGTATAATCTTGTCCTTATAATAATGTAATGGTATTGTAGTATTTTCTTCATCCTTATCATAATAATAATGATGATGAAGGGTCATCATGGATGCAGGTTGAGGGGAAGGAGAAGGGTGGTTTTCACTAAAGAATTGGAGGGAGGAGGCCATTGCAAAAAGGACCCATATGCTTGTTTTGATATTGTTATCCAACTTTCTCTTCCCCCTTTATCTAGTTTAATCCCATTCGTATTGCACAAAAGGTGGTTTTTTAATTTGCACTATGGCATACCCTTATAATGAAAAAATAACTCTCATGGCATAAAGTAGACAGCACTCCACTTTCATCATCATCCATCCCTGTCAAGAGGGCTGCTGATTCTCTTCTTGATTTGATCCGCAACATATATATATATATATATATATATATATTTATATAATAAGGTAGAACGAAGTTTGAATCTAAAAGACAAAGAGATGTCCAAATTATTTTGAAACAAAACATAAATACATCCAACGGATAATATAATCTCAATATAAAATTATGATCTGACGATTATAATTAGACTTACCTCTAACACTTTTATATCTTATATAACTCTGTCTCTCTTATCTCTTAGACATTTTAAATATACTATTTCATCTCCTCTCTCTCTCCATCTCTCTCTCTCTCTCTCTTATATATATATATATATATATATATATATATATATATATATATATAATAAAGTAGTTAGATTCAAAACCAATCTAATCGTCATCACCATTTTCACACAAATAAAAAGTATAAATATGCAATCCATAAATAAAATCATAAAGTTATTATTCATACCCAAAATAAATCAATACTATATGAAAACATATAGTTCTCAAAAAAGAAAAAAATACAAAGTCCAATATAATCACTAATAAAAAAAAATAAGTGACTAATAAAAAATAACAAACATTACCAATTGCACAAAAAAAATTTCAAAATCAATCTAATTATCATCACCACTTTCACGCAAACAAAAAATACAAATATCCACTACATAAGTAAAACCTTTGAATTATTATTTATACCTAATCACCACTTTGTTCAGAATTACACGAAAACTTATAGTTCTCAAAATTTTAATTTTTATTGAAAGTGAACAAAACATATTGTTGATTGTCATAAATGATTAGTTAAAAGAATATCTATTACAAATGTTGTTAATGGCAAAACATTTCATTATTTCGTGTTGATTATTTATTTTGTTCAATTTTTATAACTAGGTAGTTATCAAATATTTTATGTTTAATTTTTATAATTGTGCAATTAGAAAATGTTTAACATTTATGCGTGTGTGTAAATATTGATGATTTTTTTGTGTTGGTTTAGGAGTGTATGCTTTGGCAATAGTTTGTTGTTTTTAATTTTTAATGTTCATGTGGTTTAGTTGTAGATATATTGTTATTAACTGATTGTTGTTAAATCTTATATGTTAAAAGTGTATTGTTTGTACTTTGATTTAAGTTGGTTTTACTTAATT